CTACAAATTCATGCAATGATGGTTCTAAAGACCCTTGAACAAAGGTACTAGTTCAGCATCCCCCACCTTGTTGCATTATTGCATGAATCTTTTTATCATCTTCAGATGAAAAAGTAACAGAATGATGAACGTTTCTTTTTCTTTTCAATTTAGAGAAGAAAAACACAACACATACTAAAAAAATACATTCTAGACAATTAACAATGTGTTGAGTCTATAAAAACAAATTCACCGGAGAGACACAAACACCAAATGAGATTTGAGTCCAATCATAAGATTGATTGATATTACTTTATATCAAAAACTTTAAGATAATGAATTAATGAGTCTTTCATTTTTACATAATATTCTGCTTTTTTATTTCTATTCAATATGGGACTTAGACTCATAATTAGATTTTCTAGAGAGAATTCTTATTCTTGTATTACTAATGACATAAACCCTTTTCTCAATCAAAAAGTGTGGTCCTACTAAGCTCTCCATATTCTAAGTGACTTCAACAGTACTCAAACGTGGCGATTTGAGACTCTCAATGTAGGAATCAGTCAAAAGATGAATCAACATAACCTCAGACCTTTAATTTTTATCATTTACCCGGTTTGGTTGCATTCATTGAGATCATAGTTTAATGCCTTGAATCGATGCCTTTTGTTTATATATCTTGGTTAAGTTTTAGGTATGAAAATTTGTACATCAAAATCCGCCAGTCTGCCTTTAATAAAATATCTGCACCACATTTTCTTGATTTCCAAATGGGTGGTAACTTGGTGTAACATAACCAAAGAAGATAAAATGTTCATTTCCACTGCACTTTTTCTTTTAACCTTTTTCACCGACTCACAGCGAGCATCATTGGACCGACAACAAGATCATCATAATATGCTGCGAGATGAAAGTGATAACACTGTGTATATCTACGAAAGGAGTCAGTACAATGTTTGTACCTCAACCAGGACGTGTCCTTGCATGCTTCATTTTAAAAGAAGAAGAAGAAAAGAAAAGAAAAAGGGGAAAGGAAATAGCTAAAAAGACAAAAGTTGAAAAAGAATAAAAGGGAAAAAAAATTAAAGGAAAGGAATATTTGCATAAAGGCAAAGTTCACCTAGCTCAATGGTTGATAAGTATTATGATACCTTGTCCACCACTTCATGCAACAAATAGATAACGCAGTACACCATTACTACAAAAGCAAAATTTGCTGTCCAATTCTGATTTCAGCAACGAACTGTCAATCACAATGTATATTACACAATTGCTAGGGCTATAAAATATGAGAGAAAAAATTGAAGGACCCTTTATCCTTTTTGTGTGTTGAGTTGAGACTTCATGCACAACATTATTGGGAAGGTGATCAAAGTCTTTGTCAATAATAGCATATGTACCCATTTGAATCAAACCGTTTCTCAATAATTTTGTACTTCAAAATACGTTATATTTTTCCCTCCTATTCTTTGCTTTTACTTCTTTTTTTCTGTCTCATACCATATTGCTTTCGCTTTCATATATTGTTTCCTTTGCAATAGAGAAACGATAACGTTTACTTCATTCTTGGCCTGTGATCATGGAGGTTGATAGGGGCCTTCACCCTCCACTCACTGTGGTAGCCATCTTGTCGGTCAAATGTCACCAGAATAAGGATTGTGTTCATGAATGCTTATGCAGGTTAATCCATATTCTACTAGAAGAATCCAGATATATTGCACAATATTAGAAGCAGGAACAGCCTCATATATATAAATATAAATATTGTTAAATTTATCGAGGAGGTTTATCAGATAGACAAACACTAATAACATTTCAACCTAACCATATAAGGGATTGATATCACTCTTCTTCCAAAACTTTAAGACAATAAATTAATGCGTCTTTCATCTTTATACAGTCCTCTATTTTTTCATTTCTATCCAATGTTATACTCACTTCGGTTCCAAAAAATATATATTTTAATCCACACGTCACTTCACTAAGTCATACTTTATTTCTTAAAGAAAATTATTTAAATCACATTGCATACCCTTTCACTGTCTTACTTTTGACTCTGTTAATTATCTGCACAATAGTTTTTTTTTTTTGAAGTAATGACATACACGTATTATCACACTCAAATGACTGACATGACAAGAAAACACTAATATATATTAGAATGACCGAAGTTTAAAGAAGGGGCTCTTCATTTTTCTGTTTTTCTTTTTCTAATCATTGACAAGAACACAGTATGTAAGGCAATGACAGCATTGAGAGGACTTAATTCAGTTTATGCATCGTAAGAAAAATAAATAAGAAAAAGTGAAGGAAAAAAGGCAATTGTATCAAGTCTATGAAATTGCATAAAGTAGGCTTCAAGCCAAAATATGTTTGCAATGAATACAAAACAGTACAGGACGGCATCTTCTTGAAACAAAAACAAAGTAAATATGACAAGAGAAAAGGATGTTACAGCATAAATATCTATGAAACATTATGCAATCATTAATTCAAAACATAAAATAATTGCCTTCGTTTTGAAAATAATAACATTCACTAGTGTTAAACATGGTCAGTGAAAGTGAGAACAACCTCTGTTAAAGGTGAAATAAAATATTGAAAATAATTATGATCAGAAAGGATTGAGAAGACAGAATCTAATTGATCTACTTTATCTTCTGGCTGGACTCAGCTTTCTAGAACTTAGTGTCAACCGAAGGCAACGATTAAACATAATCTCTTAAACATTTTCATAAGCAGGGAGTTTAGATTATAATGATTCATGTCAGGTGATGAGGCATATTACTCCATATCATATAAATAGCTATTTATGAAACATAAATGCAAGCAGTTGATTAGTGAGTAGTGGCCACGTAGACTATAATCGAAAACAAACACCTTATTAGGCATCCTTCCAAATTTGGGAAATTGAGAGCAAGGTTCATTTAATAAAACCATGATTGGCTTTCTCTGTTTTCTAAATTCTTTGGCCCCTGATAAAGAAGAACCAACCAAATGGGTGACTTGGTTGAGGCCACAAATCACATGGCCGAGCCAATAAAATGAGTTTGTCGGCTACTTTTCAGGGCATGGATTGGGAGGCTAGTGATAACAGTGTGAGCAAGGCACAAACATTTTGATTATGGTCTAGCATGTAGCAGAGGATAAACATTAATCCAAAAGTTGGAAAGCATAGATGACAGGATGAATCAAAAGAAAGAGACAATGTGATTAGCAAAGTAAGTATTCAGTGAAAATGGCTAGGATAGGTGGTTTTGTGATTCCAAAGCAACGATGTTTATTGCAAAGCACAAACTTTACTTGGTAATAATTGTAAATTTTGGCTCCTCACGCCCAATTAAATGCAATATCATGTACTAAAGTGATTAAGAACGAAGTTCATGTCAAATCTTAGAGCTTTTAACTGGCTTAGCTTGAAAACCTTTCAGCCCATCGTTTCTTGTCACCCCATAGGTTAGCGTGTGGGACCTTAAAACGCGAATGCCCTCTTGACCTCAAGTACGCTGCTACAAAAGTATCTCTCTTTTAGATGATGATTGCAGTCATATGGACTGTGGAGTAGGGGCATGCTTTCCTCACTCTCTAAGTTCCATCTTTCTTTTTCCCTTTTTGCCTTTTGAGTTTGTTTTTGGGGGAAAGACTAGTGGGACAAACAAAGAGATAAATATTGGGATAATATAGAGGGAGTGCTTAAGACCATGTAAGGTGGGGAACATATTCATATAGACGTTGAAAATAAATTATGTTCAAAGGATAGTAGGCTGTATAAGACCTAAGGGGTGTGCGTTTCTTGCTTTAAATAGGATTTGAGATTACATTACCCATATTTTCCAATATAAACAGTTATAAGAGAGAGGTACTTGTACTTGTGGACCATCAAACTTTGGAAGGGATGCTAGTTTCTCTAGATAGTGCTGTATGATATGTCAGATATAACACCAACGTTTTACAGAATTGAAATTTGTGTGGAAAATTCGGGTGTGTTGGGGAAGCTGGTCCCATCAGCAAATGCATCTAAAAAGAGCGAAAGAAAGAAAGAGTGGTGTGTCTTGTCCCCCTACAATTGAATTTCACGCCCATGAAGAGTGGAAAGGGTGTTTACATAATTATAATGTCATGTTTAGACCTTGTTAGGCCCCCCTCCATCTCTCTTCCTTGAGGGGAAGAAGTGGCTGAACAAAAGAACAGCTGAGTTTGCCCCCACCAATCCCTCTTCGATTAAGTCACATTTGGGATTCCTTCCATGGTGGTTGGTAAACGCTTCCTGAGCTGCACCACTGCCCAATGCCACCTTTTGTTTCGTTTTATTTCACTACCAATAAGAGGAGCAAATAGCCCTGTCCGGCATTAGGGTGTGAAGGACATGCAAATACGTGTAAGCATTTTCAGTTTCACAACAGGCTTGTCAAAATCTGCCAGAGTACATATCACTTGTTTGTTGCATAGCTAAAAAGCATAATTCACTGCGTTTGTCTGACAACGATAGTTGAAACTTTTAAAAGTGATCAAATTTTGGTCTGAGACCTTGAATATTCGAGATAGAATCATACAACTTGCAGTGATATTTGTTGCGACAAAAATACAATCTATGATGGCATCCTTTGACCATATATCAATCTTTTGGAAAGCTAATAGGTTTTTGAGAATCTCGATAGTCATGACGCCTATTTTAATTTCGGTGCTTTTTATTCCATAGTGGTGGAAGCAGGTTGACCTTCAGCCAATTTAGATGCTAATGGCGAACACAAATCTCTGTGCAGCTTTACACATCGTAACTGAATTATCCAAAACAGTTCTTCACCAACAAAATTAAGGGCCGATAATGAAGCAGCATTTATATTTTCATCAATTATTAGTAACTTTCTACACAGTTCCGAAATGATCTGTCACATCATTAATTATAGTTTACCAATATTTCTCACTTCTGGTGAATACTTTAAACTGTTTTTTAAACAATTTACACCATGATTCACTGTAGTTGTAACATAAGTGCATCAAACATTAAATCCACAGTATAACAGTAAAAGGCACACATTTAAGAAAACATTGACTTGTGAGAGGTTTCATTATTCACACAGTATCTAATAAACAAGAAACAGCTGCCTAGACTAAGAGAAAGCTAGAGTTTTCCACTCTCCTAGCAAATCATTTTCTAGAAGTAACCAAATGCATGCCCATTGACTTTTGGGAAAATTAAAGATTACCCTGGAATGGGATGATAATAGGTATCACTACTCAAATACCAAAATACTTCCATCCCACGAGCATGAAGCAATAACATTAGGTATAATGGGGTGGAAGGCAACATCTATGCATGCTTGATCATGGGCCTTGATTTTCTTCACAACTTTGGATGACTGATAATCATAAAGGAAGATAGAACCATCTGAAGAGCCAGAAGCAAGTTTTTTCCCATCCAAGCTGAAATTACACTTGATTGGGAACCCAGAGATCACATGGCCCTCATATCGCTTATATTTGTTGAGCCTGTAAGGTGGGGTGGAAGTAAAGATTGCAACATAATTTCCATTTGACTGGGCAACAAAAATTGAATCAAATGGGTGCAGCCTCACGCAAGGACATGTATAAGCTTCTGCATAAACCTGATTCAGGAGCATAATAAGCTAATTAAAGTCTAAAATTCATCAAGTCATAACAAAGTTTATATGTAAAAACGGTCAAAATGATATATAGAGATGAATTGCATACTCCAAAAATGCATATAAGCACAAACGAACAAAAGGTGGCAAGCATCATAGATATTAAAGAGTGGCCTGAGTTTGATCACAGATTTACTATATCATGGAAAGTCATCGGAAGAAAATTAAAGAGTGGTTTTTTAAGCTATTTGTGAAGCGTTACCAGTGAAAATCATGCTTCTTTGCTGCATTACTGCTATCACCTAATATTTAACAACCATCAACAAATCTAATTATTTAACAAAATGTCAGGATACCCCTGCGAGACAAGTTTAAATGAGTAAAATGTAGATAACGTAATTTAATCCAATATGCAAGGACAATGTTAAGCTTTTTGCTTCCTGCAATATAAACATGAGCACTTCACTTGCAAATATAATAACAATTTAAACTTAATTATTTCAAAAAATGAAAGCAACACGATAAACAAATAGATGCATCAGCTATAGAGTAGTAGAAGACTCTGAACAAAACTTAGTTTTCTTAAGTGATTTGAGAGTAGAAATACATGTTCCTTAGCAGTTTTCGAGCCTTCCATTTAAACTCAAATGTTTTTAGGAATTAAATTCCGAGTATGAGTATTCATACCATCGGGTATGGAGACAAGAATAGAAAAGCCTATATCCAGCTGTTTGATAAATTATGGAGAAAATATTCTGATTAATGTAATTAAGGAAGTACAATCTCCTAGTACATAGCAGTTTTTATTTCACTCTGTTCTGTAAATTAGGACATTTACTATCTCTAATTAGGATCTTGATTTGTTGTACTCTTCTAAAGTGTCTATTTATGTCATATGTATCACACATTTATGCCTACGTTTGAAGGGGTTGATCCGATGGGATGGATATGTAATACTACTTGGAGATGTATAGTCCTAAACATTGGGGGTTGATCTGGCTAGACCCACAAATATTGGAGATGTATAGTCCTAAACATTGGGGGTGTATTAGAGATTCCCTATCAACTATTGATATGGCCAAATTATAGTACATAAAAATGTACAAATCGCACCTGACAAGTTGATTTTGACCATAAATTAGGTTTAGAATCTAATTTTTAAGAGGGTATCAACTCTAATGAGAAGGAAACTCAAATTTGTGCATTCCTTTTGGACCCACTACTTGTAGGAGTAAATATTTTAGAAATCATATATGTTTTCTGGTTTCTGTTTTTTCCTATTGTAACTTTTCATGCCAGATACAACGCTCTTTGCCACCACACAGTTAAACGCCTGCTTATTTGTTCACAGCGACTTTTGGATGAGCCATTTACAATCAATGTTATTGTTTATTGTCGACATTTTTCCTACAACTACTATTTACAACTAATGATTTCCTACAAATATTATATTTACCACCGTTTTACCAGTGAGTTGCTTTTCCACTATACCTTTTCCAACTGTCATTACTTTTAACCATGGACGTTATTCAGTTATTTTCACTTTTTTTTTCTAGAGTTTTTCCTACCAACGAAAATTATCATTGTTGTTGGCATCACCTTGCTGTGAGAACTATTTTTGCTCTCCAATAGTCACCATACGTTCTAAGAACTTTTGCTTCCAAGCCATGACTCACTCTCTTGAGCATTTTTTTCCTTTCCAGTAGCCACTATCTTCATTTAGCAATTTTTTCTTTCTGGCAGATAATTTATGCTTTTTGACAACTATCATGTCCTTCGATCACTTTTTATTTCCAATTGCGGTTGTGTTCTTTGATATTTTTTGCTTTTTGACAACCACCAAGTCAACTACTCATTTTTGCTCTCCTACAATCGCCATACCCTTTGACCATTTTTAACAAACTTGACTCAAATGATTCATGTGTTTTCAACTTGTGGGAGTGTTAAATATATGATTAAAAGGACAAAACATATTGAAGATTGATTGTCTCTAAGAGAAAGTCATCTCTGAAAATATCTACTAGCATTGTCTTACTTTGTCAGCTTCAACAACCAACTGGTTCACATGTTTACTTAGTCTCTCAAGAGGTCTAGTGTAGATGAGATTTGTTACAAGTTTGTCCCATATGATACATATACTCTAACTTAAGGGGAGTATTAGAGATATGAGTTGATTGTGTTAGAGATATGATTTCATTACATTAAATAGAGATATAAGATATGATTTGATAGGGAAATATCTTATCAAATAATTCCCATTATTATTATTTTAAAAATTCATGTTAGACACCCCTCTAATGAAACACTGACATCCCAACTTGGTTGGTACCTTAAAGATTCATAAATATTTCCCATTATAAGATATTGATTATGTTCATTATTATTGTATCCCTTCTCCATTATAAATAAGAATACACAAGTGTGTACCCTACACAAAATTCATTATATTCCATCTTAGTTTCTCTCTTTCTCAACATTGTATTGAAGTGATACCATCTTCCGTGACCTATTTTGTCACTAATCCTTCACACATAATCCATAATTGATAGAAAGTTTACATCAGGCTAATACACATTTGAATAGGGCAATAAAATCAATTGACAATTGGATACCTCACATCAACTAGAGTATAATCAAATTATAATATATAAATGATGTGTGAACCTAACCTTACAAACTGATTTTATAAGATCAAGTTAGGCTTTAAATCCATTTCATAAGATGGTATCAGATCTTATCAAGAGCCTCTTCTAGTAAGATTAGTTAGGCATTAACCCCACTTCTATAATATGGTATTAAGATTGATAGGATTCTGAGTAGGAAACCTATCTAAAATCCACACTAACACACACTAAACAAGAAGAAAGATAGTAAAACAAAGTAATTCTGTTATTAACTCTTCAATCTCTACAACCCAAAACCTCCAAGGGAGCCAAGTTCCCCCTCCACAGGATAAATGTGTCCTGTCTATACAAAGAATCCAAATATCAAAAACTAACATACAAGAATACACCAACTATTTTATAAGAGCTCTTTTCCCGCCACTAACTTTTATTACTGTTATGTTTCATTAACTCTCCTAACCTCCTTATTCCCTCTCCTCTTTCTCTCATAGACTCTCCATATCCTATCAAAGATTCTATCCTAGCAAGGTTTCTTAGACATATATCATATCCCCCTTTGGGAAAACTTAGTTAAAGTAAAATATGAATCTGCTGATTCAGTTGTTAGAAAGGCTGTTTTTATGCCTTGTTCTGCTCCTATAATTTTTACCAAATATATATTGAGTTGGTTAACTATCCCAAACAAATTTTGGTAATAAATCATACTATTCATGAAAAAATAGTTGATATGAAATGTGTTTTTCTCTGAACATGCAGTCACTTATTTCTAATTTCCAATTTTTAGATGATAATGCACAGCAAGAACAACAGCCCTATCCCAAATTCTCACCGTCGGAAAAATCCAAATCTCACATAAACTAGATATTGTCTAATATAGTATATGACAAACTAATTTTGTAAAATTGAGTTAGACTAAACCTACTTTGTAAAACTCACCAGGATTACCTATAGGTTTAAAAATATAGGAGTGCTAAAACGTTAAAAGTTTCATAATTAATGTCAATATTATTAATATTAAAAGACATAAAAGTGTGCATAAATTAAATATTAATTACAGTTTGACTACAATTTGGCCATAGTTGAATCATTAAAAATATAAATGACTCAATCACGGGCTGGTTTTAGAACATAGAACTTGCAGGCTATAACTTTTACGAGACTATCTGTGTTATTCTATTCCCTCTAGGATGACTTATTGATTCAAGAGTTATAATCAACACAAGTAACGCTGATTAAACTAACAATACACACACTTCACAGCAATTTGGTAATAACATGAACAGTAACAACACGATATGAAAGATAGTACATAGAATTCTCTCACCTGGTTAGACAATGGTACCTCCCTTGAAACATCCCAAACAATAATAGCGTTCTCACTGATATTACTTTGAGATACATCACAAGAAGAAATGAATTGCTTCCCATTCATTGTGAACTCAAGATCGAGAATTGGACCTAAATTTCGATTATAATTATGAACTACTTTGCCCGTTCTGACATCCCACAATTTGATATGGCCATTTGAACCTCCAGAAAGGAAGATATTTGAATTGTCTGGATGGAACTTTATAACTGCAACAATTTGATCTTCTCTGAAAACCTGAGTCTCCAATCCCTTTTCAACGTCGACCAATCTTGTCGTGCAATCATATCCACAAGAAAGTAGAAAGTGGCCTTGCGGAGACCATTTCACATCTTTGACTGCAGCATTGTGGAAGTTTAGCATACACGCTTTCTTCTCATTTCTGCTCCATACATTCCATATGAAAATTGTGTGATCCATCCCAGCAGATGCAAGTAGGTGAGCTGTAAGCTAACACTGATGAACAATAAACCCTAGTGTATATATAATAAGTATATCTCTCTTACACTTTCTCTCATACACGTATATATAGACAACACTTTTCAATACTTCAATTTTAAATTTATTCTAGCTGTGAACGCTTTACACATTAAAATTAAATTAAAAATAATCACAAAAACATCTTTGAATACAGTTTTATCTGAAATTTCAAGAAACTGCTAGAGATTTATCAAAAGCTGCTCTCCGGGGTCGCATAGATTTGTTGAAAGGTCTAAAGGAAAACATTGTTTTAGGGGGGATGATGCTAGTTGGTACTAGATTCAAAAGAATAATATACCGTTCAAAGCAAAGGCAATATAACAAGATTATCTCGGAAACAAAAAAAAGAAAAGAATTTACGTGGTACATCAAAATAATCTAGGATTTAAGAATTCCTAAAATAATGATTCTTAAAGTCATATTCATTTTCGGTCACTTTATTTTGTATAATAAAATAAACATAATAAAGAATCATATTAAATGAAATAGAAAAAATGGCCTGATCTTTGTTATCAACGACAAATTTTCACTACAAGAGCAAGTTCCTTTGGAACACTTATTTTTTTCTATTTCAGTATAATGGGTCTCTTTCTTTCATTTCAAAAAAATGATCTAATTTCTATTTGGAGATGAAAGAAAAGTGTGGGGATAATTCTAAATGACAGAAAGATATTGGAGCGTAATTTTGGAATTGCTTTACCTTTATCAACATTAGTTCCAGCCAACTCCACGATCTCCGGCCGCCGCCGCCACCGTCGCCGCCGACGGAGTTCCAGAATCGACCGACAACCACACCATCGGAATCGTCTCGGCCAGGCGACAAACGTGGTGCAAAGATCGCGGCGAACGGACCACCCAAGCACCGCCACGCGCCGCTGCAACAGTCGCTGGTGCCGCCGCTCCCCGCCGCACGTGCCGGAGCGTTGCCGGAGAGTTCCGCCGCCGATCAGGACCGTCGTAATCGCCTCCTCGCCCTCTTTCTGGATTTGTGGTCGTTGCGTCAATCGGAGCACTTTGGATTTTTAGGGTTTCTCCCTCTCCATGGCGTCTTCCTCGTCTACAAACACCTCTGTTGGTGGCTCATCTTCTGATCCCTCAATATACACCAATTATGTGAATGTACACTTGTCCATTGACAAGTTAGATGGCACAAATTATGCAACTGGGCATCCGACATCAAACTTTGGTTGAAGAGTCAGGGATACGTAGATCACCTTACTCAAAATGTGACTACTGCTACCACAGATGACACTTCCCGCTGGATGAAAATTGATAACCAGTTATGCATTGTCATAAAGTCCACCATTCACTCCTCACTGAAACAAATGTTTCGATCATATGAAACATGTTCAAAAGTATGGGCACAAGCGAAGTTATTATACACAAATGACACTCAGCGTCTTTATGGTGTTTGTCAGGACCTATTCACTGTTATTGGTCCGCGCAGTCCTGGTCCCATGGCAGAATATTTGGGTAAAGTTCATGCCTTTCTTCATGATTTTAATGAGCTATTACCTCCTGCTTCCACTCCTGCTGAAGAACTGGAACAACGATCAAAGTTCTTCATGTTGTTGGCATTATACGGACTCTCTGATGATTTCTCTCATGTCCGTGATCAGATTTTGGGTTCTCCTGTCATACCTAACTTTACTTCTACTTGTTCTATTCTCTTGTGTATACCGAACAAACCAGTCACTGAGACACCTTCTCATACTGATGATTCCTCAGTTATGGCTGCCGAACGTGATAATCGAAGTCGGTCTCGCAAGCCAGGTAAAGGACGTCCAAAATGTGACCAATGTGGCAAGTTAGGCCACAAAATTGATAGATGTTATGCGCTTCATGGACGTCCTCCTCGACCTGTAGCAATGGCTAATTTTGATCCACCTCCCCGATCATCATCTGCAGACCATCCTACTTCATTTAATACCGTAGAAAACCCTGCAATCTTTCACGAATTTCTCAGATGGTATGAGGATCGTCAGCACTCTAGTTCCACTACATCTGCATCTGTTGCACGTACAGGTACA